GGAGATAGGCTGAGGTGGAAGACGGAAGTAATACAGGATCAGAGATGGGATCCTCCAATAAGGGAGAAGGAGATGGTTAAATGTGATTCAGATCATAGTCAGGCTTTGGCCCGAATGGGAGGAAGAGAACCATTCTAGTGTTAACATTAGGGGTTGGTGAGGGTGCTGGGGATTGTAGGTTTGATGTGGGATACTTGAACATTTCCTATCTTCCCTGTTTCTCTGAGTGAAGAATGTGGTCATATCAGAGAGCAAATGCTATTGCTGGCAGGAAGATAGCTTTTTTTTTTTTTTTTTTAATTCAAGGGAGCTTCCCCAAAAGGGTAAATTTAAATAACTCCCTGCTGCAGAAATGATAAAACAAGTTAAAATGGGTCTCTTTAACCTTTTAGCCAGTTACTTCATATTACTGAATTTTTTTATTTTCTCCTTGTATTTTTATATTTCTCATTTTGGCTTTTTTCCCCAGGTGGTTGTGGCAAGCGATAATCAGCTAAATTCTGGAAAGCTTAATTTATACCCTTAGTAGTTACTCTCCATTTTTATTTGAATTTGATTTTTTCTGTGTATCTCCTTCATAGGAGATAACTGGTGGAACCACCAGTCTTACCATTGCAGCTGCCAAGTAGCTCATAAGAAATGTTTACTGTCAGAAATATTTTTTCTCCCACCGCACTGAAACTATGACTACTATTAATGTTTGATTTTGTAGCAGTGTAATCTCTTTGAACTTTTTATTTTGAAAGTTTCAAACCTACAGAAAAGTTAAATAGTAAAATGAACACCCATGTATAGTTACATAAAAAATTACTGTTTGGTGCCAATTGTTAATATCAGTGTAAAAATTAAACATCGTGTAATGTTCATATTGTGATCATTCATGCTTTTTGGTTTTTCAAAGTCAATTATTTCATGTGGTGTTAGAAAACACAAAGTTTCATAAAACCATTTTGTTTTGTTTTTTTTTTAAAAGTCATTTTTTATCAGATACAGTACATATTAAATAGTCAAGTGGTTAATTCTACAAGTCTTATTAAGAAAACAGTCTGGGCCAGGTACGGTGGCTCATTCCTATAATCTTAGCATTTTGGGAGGCCAAGGTGGAAGGATCACTTGAGGTCAGAAATTGAAGACCAGCCTAAGCAATGTAGCCAGACTGTCTCTACAAAAAATAGAAAAATTAGCCAGGCATGGTGGTGTGTGCCTGTAATGCCAGCTACTTGAGAGGCTGAGGCAGGAGGATGACTTGAGCCCAGGAGTT